ACTTCTCTATACAGTGGTTCTCAACTCTGGCTGTATATTAGAGTCACATAAGGAGATTGATTTAGTACGTCTGAGATTAGCTAGTGAGTAGTGGTTTTAGAAGTTCTTCAGTGTTTTAAAAACATAGACCTATATAGCCATGGCAAACATTTTGTTCTAATTTCATGTGGTGGTGGTGGTTTTATTTTTTTATTTTTTTAAAATAAAAGCTATTAACCTGACAGTAAAGCAGTATAATTTTTATGCCTTTATTCAACTTTTTATTTAAATTAATTTGTAAGTAAAAAAAATCCTCTTGTTAGATTATACTGTGTTTTGAATATTTGTTGAAGATGAGGTAAATTAAACCAGGTTACCAAATATTATTTCTGGTAAGAATTTTTAGTGGAGTAATTAAGATTATCACATATGCTGTATGGTCTTATACTATCTACATACCGCATTTTAAAGTAAAGAATAAACATCATCCCTAGGTGGTTTGAACACCAGCAGATTTCTTATGATACTGCATTCTGGTGAGCCCATGTGTCTCTGCAGTGGTAGAAACAAGATGATGTTTGTTTAGACCACATAGAAGAGATCATACTTCACAGGTCAATCTTGTTACAAATGAAAAGAGTCTAGTAAGGAATAAGAATAGTTTGCAAAGTTGAGCCTTCTTTGGGTTCCCAGAGTTGGAGGAGGACTGGCCTTCATTGATAGAAGGCTTAATTACCAATTGTATATGGATTTGAAAATCTGTGAAATTTCTTCCAAATCTGAAAAGGCTTTCCTCTTACCTGCCAACAGGTACGACTGTAACTGCTTTAAGATTATTTAAGAATTTACCTGTAAGAAAACAATTTTACTCAACTACTAAAAAATGTAAAGATGAAATTAAAAAGGTCCTGGATCTGCTCATAAGCTATGGTGTCCTTAAACCTGACTTGAGGATTGTTTTTGTACATAACAAGGTAAGCATTATACTTTTACAAGTTTTTTTGGTATGTAATGTAATAAAAGAACGATGTATTTTACCTAAATCAATTAGATATGGGCTATTGGACTAAATGTTTGTGTCCTGCCACAGAATTTATTTGTTGAAAACCTAAATCACCAATGTGATGATATTACGACATGGGGCCTTTGGAAGGTGATTAGATCATGAGGGCTCTAAAGAGCTGCCTTCCCTCTTCCACCATGTGAGGAGGCCACCACACAGTGAGAAAGGGCCATCTGGGCCGGGTGTGGTGGCTCACGCCTGTAATCCTAGCTCTCTGGGAGGCAGAGGCGGGCGGATTATTTGAGCTCAGGAGTTCGAAACCAGCCTGAGCAAGAGCGAGACCCTGTCTCTACTAAAAAGAAAGAAATTAATCGGACAACTAAAAATATATAGAAAAAATTAGCCGGGCATGGTGGTGCATGCCTGTAGTCCCAGCTACTCGAGAGGCTGAGGCAGGAGGATCGCTTGAGCCCAGGAGTTTGAGGTTGCTGTGAGCTAGGCTGACGCCACAGCACTCTGGCCTGGGCAAAAGAGTGAGACTGTGTCTCAAAAAAAAAAAAAAAATTGTCAACCTAGAATTTTGTAACCAGCAAAGATGTCCTTTAAAAAATTAGGACAAAATGAAGGCAATGTAATGCAAATAAAACTGAGAGAATTTGTCCCCAACAGACATGTACTACGAGAAATATGAAAGGAAGGTTTTTAAGCTGAAGGGAAATGCTTCCAGATAGCAACCTGAATCTGCAAGAAGGAAAGAAAAGTTTTGGAAAAATGTGTGGAAAAAAATTGAAAGACTAAATTTTTAAGAAATTTATTTTATAAAAACAATATTTTGTGGTATTTATAACATGTGGAAGTAAAATGCATGACAAATATATTTTAAAAGGCAGGAGAATAAATGGAATTATGCTATTGTAAGATTGTTACATTGTAAAGTACAATTCATTTCATAGTAATCAAGGTAGATTGATAATTTAAGACTGTATATTATAATCTGTAGAGTAACCACTAAAAGTAATACAAAGAAGTATAGCTAAAAAGCCAATAAAGTAATTAAAATGGAATACTAAGAATGACATAGTAGAGTTCAATGAGAGGATTTGAGGGTAGTTGAAGCAGGAAACTTAGTTTAGAAAATGGAAGCTTGGGTGTTAGATTATGAAGGCCCTTTTATATCATGCTAGGGAGTTTGTACCTTACCTCAGCAGTGAGACATTGAAACTTTTTTAGGCAGAGAATTGGTATTATGTTATTTACAAAATTAACTGGTAGGGCATCGTAACTCCTACCATAAATTGTGTCTTTCTGTAAGAGTTGTTATCTACTAAGGTTTGAGAGTAAGGAAGGAATTTGACATAGATTTGAGGGAGATTTTTAGGATAGAATAGATAGGCCTGTGTGAGTTATGCAGCATTACAGTAAGAGGCAAAGGGAAAAAATCAATTAAATCTGGAGTAACTGCCTTTGGAAATTGTTGGTGTAGTATCAGACTCAAGGAGGAAGGTAATGAGTTCAAGTCTGGGTGAGGTTGCTGTAAAGTGGCTTGGGGAGATGCAGGTGGGGATATTGAGTGGGCATCTACACATAAGAGAGTGCTTTAGGTCTCAGATATATGTCTGTTGATCAGTTTTTTTTCCCCCTAACCACCAGACTATCAGAAATTAGTTAATCAGTTCTAAGTTGGACATCTTGTCACATTTTCATGTTCCTGAAAACAAATTGTGGCTTATAATTAATGGACTCTCAGAATCCTTTTTGGAGAGACAGCAGTCATGGGTGTTCTTATTGTTAAATCAGTTGAGTTTTGTGCAATATTGATAATTCATGTGTTGATTGAAGGAATAAACAATTTCATATTTTATTGCAACAAACAGGTGCTTTATGAAACTTAAAAAGGGAAAATAGCCACAAGTAGATAAAACTGTTAAGTGCAAAAGAATTGCTATCACATGCAAAGCATTGGAATTGAAGACACCAGAGGGAATTGCTATATTCATGGAAATAGATAAGTTTCAAAGCAGTGAGGGGCTAGTACAACCATTTCCTGTGTCAGTCGGGATTGTTGGTAAGACAGTGTATAATGGTTTAATTGGAATAGTTTTTTCTTTTTACGAGATTCATGGAAGTGTGGTGCTTCTTACAGCTTCCATGAAAACAATCCATTCGTGTGTGGGTAGTAGTTGAAGCTGTGAGAATGGAGGAAATATCTAGAGAGAACAAAGAGTGCAATAAGAAGGCATAAGACGTCTCTGTGACTAGCTTGTGGTGTGAATTCTGATCTGAGTGCGTTCTCCCTTATAGCAGTGGAGGCAGAATGCATACCTGCTCTGATTGCTAAATACATGCACTCCTTGATCTTCGTGAACATTTGCTCTAAAACTTGGCAGTGAATGGCCTTTTTATTTTCCTCAAAGAATGGTAGCACCAAAGTGTGAGTAGCAAGGAATACCATGGTGTCCCAAGGAATTTAATCCTGTCTCCGGAACTGATGTGTGCAATTAGGCCAAGGAAATACCCTACATAAAAATAGAGGAAGACCAAAAAAAAAAAAAATTGTTAGTAATATAATATGCTAATGAAGCACTAGATCAAGAACAAAATCAGAAAAACATTAAGTGTGAGCAGAGTAGGAATATAGCTTTTCCTTTAGTCTTTTCCACAAAAATCTTTTTTCTCCTAATCTTGTTTTATTTTCTTTAGAAAATTCCCTTTCAAAAATTATAAAGGTTCCATAAATAATGAAACAATCCAAACAAATACATACTTTATACTTACTACCTTATTTCTCTTATTTTCTTCCTTCAATGCTTTCATTCACTTTACAATTTTTTTTAAAATGCCTACAGAGTATTTGTCATCGTTTCAGGTACTGGGGATATAATGGTAAACACGGTAGATAATCCTTTGCCCTCAAACTTACCATATTCTAAAAGGGGAGACAGAGGAAAGTTTTTTCAAATAGAACAATTTCTACGAAGAGATAAAAAAACGTGGTTGCAATTTGGAAGTAGCTGTCTTTGATAAGGCTCTTAGGGATGGATTTTCTAAAGATAGGATACTTAGGCTGAGATCTGAAGGTCGATAAAGGAGTTAGCCATGCAAAGGGTGGAGGGTGGGGGAGAACATGTGCAAAGGCCCTGAGGTGGAAACAAGTCGATATACTAGAAGAACAAAATGAAGGACATTGGTAAAACAGGAGATAGCCATGGGCCAGGTTATGTAGGGCCCTTTAAGCTTTATACCTCTTTATTCCCATCTCTTTTCTCCAGGTAACCAGTGTAGCTAATAATAGAGTTTTTTTGGTTTTTGTCTTTTAAGATACAGGGTCTCACTCTGTCTCCCAGACTGGAGCATAGTAGCGTGATCACAGCTCACTGCAACCTCCAACTCATGGGCTCAAGCGATCTTCCTGGCTCAGCCTCCCAAGTAGCTAGGACTACAGGCGCATGCCACCACACCCAGCCAATTATTTTTCTTTTTTGTAGAGATGGAGTTTTGCTATGTTGCCCAGGCTGGTCTCGAATTCCTGGCCTCAAGCAGTCCTCCTGCCTTGGCCTCCCAAAGTGCTGGGAGTACAAATGTGAGCCACCAAGCCCAGCCCTAATAGTAGTTTAAAACATTGAGTTACAAGCTATTGTTAGGCTTTCTCTGTATTATGTGACTTTCATTTCATGAATCCATATTTAACAGTTATGTTGCAAAGCCTACTCACATTACCATCTTCTGTGTTCTTTAAGCTTTTAAGATTCTTTGCTCACCAAATTTATTTTCTATCTTCTTTGGTCATAAAAATCTCTATTTTGATGTAGTTATCATTTGCTTAGAGTTCATCTTTTCATTGTTTTCATCAGATACGTTAATACTTGGTTTGTATACTGCCGAACCCTTGCAAGTCCAAAAATGTCTTCATTTTGCCCACATACCTGTCTTAACTGGGTGTAGGTTTCTTAATTTCCCCTTAATAGTTTATAAATTGTCTGTCTTCTACTGTACTAGGTTAGAAATTTGATGTTTGTCTTTTCTTGTAAGAAACCTGTTCTTTTTGTCTGATAGTTTGTAAAATTTTTTCCTGTCCTTGAAATTTAGGATTCTAGGGGATGTGGTTCTTTCTTTTTTGTTTTTTAAATATTCCTCCTTATAATGAAATAAGCTCTTGAAATAAGCATTCAAGCCTTTAACTCAAGAACATTTTATTCTATTATTTATTTAATTACATCTCTGTTTCTTTGTCTTCTCTTGGAACTCATGATTTTATGCTAGGGATTCTGAGCCCTATGTTTCCCTTATGATTTCCATTTCTGTTTTTGCCCTTTGTTATAAGCAATAGGACAATGATTGACCTATTATAGCAAATTTTAGGCTTTTCAACTCTGATTCACAGTAATAAATACATTTCACATAGCAACCCAGTTCACACAAATCTAATCATAACAAAAATTTCATGAAACTGTGTAACCTAACATTTGCGATGCTCTATTTTCTCTTCTAGTTTAGTCTATTCTGTCTTTGTATTTTATTGTACTTAAAAAGAAAAAAGATGCTAGTTGCTGTACACTCAATCAGTGGTTCTCAACCATGGGCAACCTTGTCCCCTAGGGTACGTTTGGCAATATCTGGAGACATTCGATTGTCACAACTGGGGAGGGTGCTACTGGCATCTAGTGTGTAAGAGGCCAGAGATGCTACTAAACATCCTACAATGCACAGGACAGACTCCACAACAAATTGTCTTGTCAAATGTCAGTAGTGTCAAGATTGAGGAACCCTACATTAATTTGATTTTTTTTTTTT